GATTGCAAATCCCAATCTCGTAGTACAAGCAGAGACCCTGAAGGAAAGGGTGCACTGGTATCCCGAAACCCCGTTTGAAGAAGTCTTTGAAAACCACAATCTCACCTGGTTGTGGATTGGGGAAGTTTTCTCCTTCTGGCGCACGCCATCCCGCGAGTGCCTTGTTGTGGAGCACTCCCATGGCGACGAGGTCCTCGATGGTCTGCTCATTGCTCCGCGACTTCCACCATTCCTTCGCCATGACCCCGCCTTTCTTCTGAGCGTCTCTCTTCGCCATTAGTCTGCCCTTACTAAGGGGGTGGATGCGGTGGCAAGGGGATTGACGATGATTTTCGGAGGAATAGGGTTTGACAGGAGGAAGAAGAGGGTTGCGGCGGCGAATGACAATGGGGAACGGTGTGAGTAACTTACCAGATCTACATTATGTAAAACAAAGAGCTCCGTCGTTTTGTCCGCCCGAGATTATTGGGAGATGTGCGCACGCTACGCCGCAGACGCGGTTGTTCACACAACCTCGAGATCTCGCCAATAAACACGCTCTTCGTTACCAAATGTCTACGCGCCTCTTCGTTAATAGTGTAAGAGGGCCCACACCGACGCGCCTCCATCACAAAAGTGCTAAGCGGTTTTTTGCCGAAAAAGAGTAAGAAGACGAAATGACGTGCTATACCCATTTGCTTTTTGACCAGGGCGTGTCGATCGACTTGGCGAGAATAGAGATAAATAAATACATTGAATAAATACATCAATGGCGTTAAGCGTTTTAGATGCCCGTTTGGCGCTAAGGATGGATCGTGGACGCCTGCACCACTCATCGTGTTTTCGGGGGCGCGCCCCGGACTGGCTTGTGCTGGGGGACCGCCTGACCATTTGTTGTGCTCGGGATCGCATGCACCAACGCCGTGCTGTGTGGATCGCCTGCACCACCGAAGTGCTCGGGATCGCTCCGACCACTAACGTGCTCGGGACTACTACGACCACTATCGTGCTTTCGAGATCGCTCCGATAACCGGGTGTGCTCGGGGATATCCCACCACCGATCGAAGAATTGTTCTCCTCGGCTACATGTGATTTGTACTCACATACAATTGAGAGACTTTTATTTACACCTTACTACAAGGCTCATACTTCGCCTTCCAAAGAAGCTCGGGGACTACATCGATGCGATGCACTGCCGGTGCATCTCGTATCGCTTTGTCTACGATTGGGTTCTCAACTTAATTGGGAATTCTTTTTTAGACCACGGCACCACGTGCTTACTTCACCTACTACCAGCTCGGGGACTAAGTGGGCACACTTCACCTTGCGGTGAATGTGTTTGTTTTTCGACCACTACGCCTCTGATGATCTACGCTTCAAGACGCACTTACATTTCTTTTCAGAAATACAAGTGGGCACACTTCCGGGACAATCTTTTTCTTTTTTCTTAAGAGCACCATACATTCTTCGGACAACCTATTTCTCCGGCGACGGTGGTGGTCGGAAGATGTCAAGGACTCGTGCATAACTTGTCGGAGAAGGTCGAAATGGCGTGTCGCAGCATAATACATGGTGCTCGGGGACTAGCTGTGGAGGTATTAACCCCTATACCCTTACAGCTAAGCTTGGGCCGGCCCGGATCGATGGGTCCGGTCCATCCGAAAGACGACGCTACCCCCAAATGCAACCCGGTTGAGTCTGCGCAAGGAGTTAAGGCGGATTTGGCGATCAAGCGAGGATCCTGGTCGGTTAGAATAGGAATCCTTATCCGCCACATATGGCAATTGTAATCAGCTAGGATTAGTTTCAGATCTATAACCCCGCCTGGACTATATAAAAGGCGGGGGGGATCCCTCTAAAAAGCATCTCTCATTAACATACAGCAATACAATCAGACGCAGGACGTAGGTATTACGCCTTCTTGGCGGCCGAACCTGGATAAAACCTCGTGTCTGTCTTGCGTCACCGTCTTGTTTGAGGCTTGCGCATCTGTCTGCCGATAATCTACTACCTTGGGCATACCCCTAGGTAGACTGCCGACCATATTTCGTCGACAAGACTAAATAAATAAATAATTATACAGATTGCGACTAATTTGCGAGACGAATCTTTTAAGCCTAATTAGTCCATGATTTGACAATAAAGTGCTACAGCAACATGTGTGCTAATGACGGATGCTTAGTCTTAATAAATTCGTCTCGCGGTTTATTGACGGATTCTGTAATTTGTTTTTTTATTAGTATCCGAACATCCCATACGACACCTCCATGTAACATTTGATTTGACATCCTAAAACTTTACACCCCGGAATTAAACAAGGCGTAGGAAACAAGCAAATTTTCTATGGTCCAAAGGGGGCCTTACAGTTCACTACTTCGGTCTGTTACTACCCTTTTTTCTTATATATAGAAGATCCGTTTGTTTAGCGATCGACTCACTCTTTCAGCTGCAACTGTACGCTGTGGCCGGAGGAGAAGAGCCAACGGGGTTACTGTAGCGAAATACTTGGAATTAATACTAGAAACAGTCAACCAGCTGCAGCGAGCAGGCTGAATTAATGACTCTATCTCGCGTGAGCAGACAGCTGGTGGAGGCGAGCGTAACAGACGCGCGGGTCTGTTTAGGCCGGCGCCGCGTGACGTGTGCTGCGATGGGGGCTCGGAACCTGTTTGGGCCTCTCTGTGATCGATCGGGTCCGCCTCGCCTGGCCTGGCGCGAAGCCGTCGCCGCCGGTCCCAGGCTCCCAGCACCCCACCCGTGACCGTGATTCCGTGGCCCGACGTCGGGCCCACCGTTAACGAACTGTCCCCAGTCGGCGGCAGAGGTTCCCGTCCACACACACCACACGTGGGTGGGTGGGTGGGGTTTCCGGCCGTTGCGGGAGAGTGGGGGCGAGGCCGCTCAGGTCAGCTCACGCACGCCACACGGGTGGATGCAAAACAGCCACGTCGTTGAGACGGGCATGCATGACAGCGCCAGCGACCAGAGCCGTGTGCAATGGTCGTAATCTCGTTTTCCGGCATTACTGGCAGCACGGCCTCAACGCCAAGCCAGGCCCCATACACAGCCAGTCGCTGCTAGTGCTAGAGGCCGACGGATCGGTCGCGGACAAGAAGATCTGGTTCATCGCAATGTTCATTTCCGCCTCCACCGTACCCGTTGTCGCTCATTCCATTTCATTTCATCTGCAACAAGCGCACAGTACAGGAGTACTCGTATATCAATCAGAGACTACTCGTATATAGAGTATATAACTACATCTCTTATCACGCGCAAACCACACGAAACAGTGCTGTCGCTGGCGGACAGTTGGGTGGGATTGGACGGGGCCTCCGCCATATCAGGAACAGAGCCTGTCGCGATTACGCCAGCCCCGTAATTACGCACGTAATAATATTTTTCTCTCATAATAAATTAGTCAACAGTATTTTCAATCATGATTTATAAATCAAACGAACAGAACGACTTGTTTAATCCACGTCCACACACACTCTCTCCCCCTTCGAACCTACTATTTTGTTTATTACTCCTATTTTTTAATGAATGTTTTTCAAATCTATGGTTCCAAAATAATTTATTATAAAAATATATTTTATAATTAATCTAATAATATTTATTTAATATTATAAAATTAATATTTTTTTGTATAATTGATCGAACGTAAAATACTAAATCATTATACTGTGCTAGAGGGAATATAGATAGTACTACCGAGACAAGATGTAAACTAGTAATAACCTGAAACGCCACCGAAACCGAGAGAGAGAGAGGTGACAGGTGACGATTGTTTTTACAGGCCCGTGGCCATGTTTAGATTGAAAGTTTTTTCAACCTGATGAATAGTACTATTTTCATCTTTTTTGGTAAATATTATCCAATCGTGGACCAACTAGGCTCAAAAGATTCATCTCGTGATTTCCAACTAAACTGTGTAATTAGTTTTTTTTTTACCTACATTTAATACTCTATGTAAGCGGCTAAAAATTGATGTGATAGAGAGAGAGTGAAAAAACTTAGAATTTTGAAGGGAACAGACAAGCCAGGTGTCCGTCCCCTTCACTGCTCTAGAATTGTACTCTCCGTCCCAAAATAAAATTTTATATGTGATTTAATTTTTTTCTCAAATTAAAGTTCACTTATAGGTATCCATCCGTAGACGTACTGTACGTAACAGCAGTAGCACGTCCCTGCTGCCAGCGAGTGGGGTCAAGAAAATAAAAAAAAAAGTCATAAAAAAAGAAAAGGAAACATTTTTGTAATTTCATACAGTGTATTGGTTTTCGTGTGGGACCGAGAGAGTACTACACGAGACTCAGAGGCGATGGAGAGGGGGACGAAAATATCAACCGCCATCCCCCAAAGTCCAAACAGATGCCATCGCCCACCACCGCACATCACGACATGGAATTTTTTTATTATTTTTTACACTTTTTTAAAACTATTTTTAAATTTTACATTATTTATTTTTTATTTTCAAATCTAACATTTTTAGCCGCGTCTTTTGCCGTGGCGCGGCCAAACTACTCTGCCGCGTCATATATGGCGACGCGTTAGAACTGCTGACGTGGCAGCGATCTGGACGTTGATCAATGACGTGGCTATCTCTGCGCGCCGCGGATCTTGTCGAGCGGAGAAGACTGAAAAAGATTAGAATTTTTTTTTAATTTAACCTCTCTCTTCTTCTCGTCTCTCCTGTCTTCTCCCTCTTGGCAATTATCTTCTTCCCCTGCAAAGTCCAACCTCAACAAGGGATTGCTGGCGGCCCCGCAAGCGAGAGATAACTTTTTCAAACCAAACGAACAGTCCAATCCAACCCCTCGGGCAATCCATCCATCCGGTGAGCGCGTGGGTGTGCGTGTATATATATACACACACGACCGCCGCCGCAGCAGGCGTCGCTCCTACCGCCACCGAACTCCCCTTCCCTTGTTGCTGCTCTGCTCCGCTATTGCCGGGACCCGGAGGCAGGGAGGAAGGGAGGAAGGGCCAAGGAGGAAGGAAGGGAGGAAGGAGAGGCGGTGATGGCGGAGGAGACGGTGCGGGAGCTGCGCGCGAGCTTCGCGGCGGGGCGGACGCGCCCGGCGGAGTGGCGCGCGGAGCAGCTCAAGGGGCTCATCCGGATGATCGACGAGAAGGAGGCCGAGATCAGCGCCGCGCTCCACGAGGACCTCGCCAAGCCGCACATGGAGTCCTACCTCCACGAGGTAAAATAAAATTATTGATTCGCTCCCCAATGATTCCTCCTGTTCCCCGGGCGCTGCTGATTGATTCTTCTTGTTCGTCGTGGGGACAGGATTAGTGCTACTAGTGCTCTGCTTCGTACTTTCGGAGTCCTCCGATTCCTCTGGGTTTAGTGTTTGTTGTTGGCCGGGCTTGCACGCGCGCTCTCTCTCGGGCATTCATTCCAATTCGTAATCCAATCCAAACCAAACCGCTGATGCTCATCTTCGTTCGAGTGACGAGGCCTTGGATTCCGATGTGATCCCCTCTCTTCTCGGATAGACATGGACTCCGTCCACTCCATCTGACGTGCGCCCTGGACCTGTTCTTCTGACAGGGGGCGGCAGGGCTCCTGTTCTGAATCGCGAATTGTGATGATCCCACTCCCTGTTTTCGGCGGACTCTCTTCCTTGTCGCCGTGTTTTGGGAAAGCTGCGTGCTTTTTCAGTCAATTTCTTATAAGCATGCCCACAACCGCTGTGGGGACTGACTCTGCAAAGGCTTTTGCGTTGCGTGTAAATTGGTTCTTGGTGCCGTTGCTTCCACGGTCTCGCGCGTCTCACTCAACCTCAGCCTGGTCTTCCGGTTCCGCAAAATTTACCATACCTTGCCTGATACATTTGCTGTACTAAGCTATCATGTACTGTGCTCTAGTAGTAGCGGTGGTAAAAAAAAAACAGCAAAAAAAAAACGGTGGAGCTGAGACGTGCTTGTCAACAGTCGTTTCTGACAATGATTTCACGCTGAACTTGTCTCCGAATGCAGCAGCACTTAGCAAATCATGCACCATACGGTAGCAGTAAAAAATAGTTAAATCTGAGAGATTGTTTACTAATTCTCAGTAATAGTCACATCAAGATTGATTTCATCCTAACCTAGTAGGAGTACTGTACCAACTGAGAACCGCATGTTGCTTCACCTGTGTTTGTTTGTGCCTCCTCAGATCTCACTGACAAAGTCATCGTGCAAGTTTGCGCTCAACGGGCTCAAGAACTGGATGAAGCCCGAGAAGGTATTTATTTGTTGTGCCACGGAACTCCAGCTTGCAGACATGTTTATTTCTCCTCCTGCTGCTGTCACTGTTTCGCTGCTGGTCTGGAGCTAACCTTTTGGAATTCATTCGTTGCTCAGATACCTGCGTCCATAACTACATTCCCGTCCTCCGCTCAAATCGTGCCAGAGCCCCTCGGTGTCGTGCTCATCATCTCAGCCTGGAACTACCCCTTCAGTAAGTTGATGATTCTAATGTGCAAAAGCTTTTTCAAATAGAAATAGATGGGTCTCCTGCTAGTTCGTTAAAAAAAACACCTGATAAGGTAGTTATTAAACAGTTCGTTGTTGCGTGATGGAGTTGGAGCCTGCTAGAAGATCCTGCCATGAATTTCTTATGCTTCCGTGCCCCATGCTTGAGGGTGTGCTGTATTATGTGATATTTCGTATCTTTCCTTTTCCACAAAGCAAGCTGTACGCAAACGCACTAGTTTCTTTCAGGCACGTCACTAGTCATAATTGGCCTCTAGTCAACATCTGAACATTCATTTAGAGCTCGTTTTCAACGCAAACTCCACTAGAAGAACCGATGCTTTGACCTTTTATTATTTCCTATATGCATGCTGTGAAGAAAATATCTTTGGCCTGATAGACTTTTCCTTGATAATTCAAAAGAAGGAAAAAAAAAGAAATAGTACTAATTATTTGTACTTCTCCATTGTAGTACTCTCTATTGACCCAGTCATTGGAGCAATCGCTGCTGGAAATGCTGTTGTTCTGAAGCCATCAGAAATAGCGCCAGCTACCTCGTCATTGTTAGCAAAGCTGCTACCCGAGTATGTTGATAACTCCTGTATTAAAGTTGTGGAGGAGGCGTTCCAGAAACAACCGCACTCTTGGAACAGAGATGGGATAAGATCTTCTACACAGGTCAAGTTCTTAATACAATACTTATGAATTTCATGGCTCAGTGATTCTTTCAGTTTCTTAGACAATTTACTGAATAAAGATCATCGCGGACTCTGAATGCTATGACACATGCACTTTTCATTTGTACAGGCATTAGCCATCACACAGTTATTACGAGATTCTTCTAATATAATCCGAAAGTCCTTGATAGAGAACTGTACGTTATTCTTGAGATTCTGACTTGTATATGTTTTGATGATCTTTTCCAGGTAATGGAACTGTAGCACGCATAGTGATGGCAGCAGCCTCAAAGCATCTAACCCCGGTGGCTCTGGAGCTTGGTGGAAATGCCCTGTTGTTGTGGATTCGAATGTTGATCTTCATGTAAATGCATCTCTCTGTGAACTATCATGTTGTTAAAAAAAAGTATCATTTAGTTATCACAGAACCGGTATTTTCACTGTAGGTTGCCGTTAAGAGGATTGTTGTTGGCAAATGGGGATGCAACAATGGCCAAGCGTGCATTGCTCCAGATTACATAATAACGACGAAATCATTCGCGCCAGAGCTGGTATAGATAACCATGAGCATTACAGACACAGAATCTCTTGCACAAAGCATGAAACTAAACTTCCAATATCTGATCCATGAAGTAAATGTAAATCGTTGGCAGGTGGCCTCTTTGAAAAGAGTTTTGGTAAGGTTCTATGGGGAGGATCCTCTGCAATCAGCAGACTTGTCTCGTATTGTGAATTCGAAGCAATTCAAGAGATTGCAAGATTTGATAGAAGAAAAAAGAGTTGCTGACAAGATTGTGTATGGCGGCGAGGCTGATGAGGAGCAATTGTAAGGATTGTTAATCAGACTTTTGCAGGTACAGATACAGTAGTGCAAACTCTTTGATTTATGTTAACATTTTTTTTTCTTGGGTCACAGAAAAATTGCTCCTACACTATTGTTAGATGTTCCCCAAGATTCAGCAATTATGACGGGGGAAATATTCGGGCCCTTGCTTCCGATTGTGACGGTCAGTAATATTTCTCTCCCTTCATAGAACAACTGTAAATTTGCAGTAGTCTGTGCTTGGGCACCTGTGTTACTCTGACTGATAATGTTGCTATCACCATTAGTACTCAGAAACCTACTTCTGAAGGGCTTATAACTAAAAACCACGTGTACATAAACACAATAGGAATGCAGTTCAAGTTCAGCACTTACTGTTAAAAGGAGTACAACACTGAAACGTAGTCTTAATTCGAAAGTTTGGTTTTGAATGTTAGTTTGAGGGGCAAAAAAATTCTGTGATGTTTTCGTTTTGTAGTTGAATAAACTCGTAAAACTTTTATCTGAATCTGTTTCGGGATTGTGTTTCCAGGTCGAAAAGATTGAGGAAAGCTTCGACTTGATCAACGCCAAGCCTAAGCCACTTGCCGCCTACCTTTTCACCAAGAACAAGAAACTGCAAGAGGAGTTTGTGGCGAACGTCCCTGCAGGAGGGATGCTTGTGAACGACACCGTGCTACATGTAAGCTCTGCTTCCCCGCAAACTCTCCCAAATGAAAATGAACAGCTGCAAAAGCAAAACATAGTGTTTGCAGTGATGGTCTAACTTTGCTCCCGTCCTGATCCTGCAACCCAGCTCGCCAACCCGTACATGCCCTTCGGCGGCGTGGGCGACAGCGGGATGGGGTGCTACCACGGCAAGTTCGGCTTCGACTGCTTCAGCCACAAGAAGGGGGTCCTGATCCGCGGCTTTGGCGGCGAGGCGAACGCCAGGTACCCGCCCTATACGACGGAGAAGCAGAAGATCCTAAGGGGCCTCATCAACGGCAGCTTCATCGCCCTCATCCTTGCCCTCCTGGGCTTCCCCAGGGAGAAGCGTTAGATGATCCGGCCTCCTCTTCTCGGTTCGGTACAGCCTTTTGTCCCTGTTCGTCGTCAGGTGCACAGTATTAATACACCATCATATGCTGTCAAATACTCCTAGAGGCAACAACGACTGTGCCGTGTGCTTGTGTTACACGGTTGTATAATGGATATATATTGTCACATTGACATGTACGTCAGGGAGTAGTATAAATAAGTGTGATCTGTCTGTCAATTATTCAGTGTGCAGAATGGATACTTGGATATGATGCGTGGTTGTGGTATCTCTGAATCTCTGTCCTCTGATGGAGGTGGCGCATAGTACGTGTATGTACTGCTGTTAACTGGTCGATGAAGCCGATGTGATCGGAATCAATAGAGTGGACAGCACAAAACCAAATGCAAGAGCACATGGTGATCAGGAATTCAGGCGGTCAGGTTTCTTGGTGGATCGAAAGAGTAAAGATAACCCGTGCACCCTACCCCACTGGAAAATGTAAAATACCAACAAGGAAATTAAAAATGAATTTTCCTGACGGTGTACCGTCAGGGAATAACCATCAGGGCTAGCTCGACTTGCAAAATGTCTACGTTTTCCAGGTTAATTACGAATTTTTTTGGAAACCATCGAGATAATGTTAAGAGTTAAATGCACTCTAGGTCCACAAACTTGTTTAGGGGTGCCAGATAAATCCATAAACTTGAAAAATGCATTTGTGGCATAGTAATCTTGAGTTTTGGTTCACTCTAGGTCCATGTTGCCAAATAAACAGGTTTATACTGATGTGGCGTGTCCAGGGTGGACTGAGCCTCCCAGCTGTGTCACGTGAGCGGCGCGTGATGCCACCATCCTCTTTGCCAATATACAGAAAGCCCCCGCCGCATCCTCCTTTGCTCTCTCTCAGTCATTGTCTCTCTCTCGGGCTCCCTTGCTCCCCTCATTCTCTCTGCCCTTGCCTGCACCCTCCACTCTGTCGATCTCCTCCATGGCGCAACAGTGGATCGGCTCGGTCCTGAATCGGCGCAACCTTGACCTCCCTCTCATCATATGCTCGGATTGCAGCCGGCGGAGGGTGGTGCGGCGGGTTTCAACGCAGGAGCACAACCGAGGGCAAGTTTTTTACTGTTGCCCCTTCCATAAGGTAAGTTAGGGTTTGGAAAGTTTGATTCTTGGTTGCCTGTGAGCTGCATCTCGATCTTGATTTCATTTTGGCTGCAGAGGAATTCGGGTTGTCCTTTTTTGTACTGGGAAGATGAGTATGAGGAGCATCTGAAGGTGCTAGCCAGGGAAGTTCCCAAAGTGGAGGCAGTAGCTTCTTAGATGAAGGATATTGGGCTGGTAGCACCTAGGAAAGAACCAATGGTGAAGGAGTCAGGAGTGTTAGCAGTAGCACCTAGGAAAGAACTGCTTGTGACATTGAAAGCTTTGTGTTTTGTGTGTGTTTGTATGCTAGTAGTTCAGGTGCTGATCTTGTTAGTGTTGTTAGTGAAGTGAATGGCACCATGTAGTGTTAGTACTGTTAGTGTAGTCAATGACATCATGTAAATTGTTAGTCTGTACTTTTGTTAACCATAATGATGCAATGGAATGGCAGTTAGTATCATGCCATTGATCTTGAAATATTTGACACAAATTGTGAACCCAGTAATCTTTGAGGCTGACAGAAATATTTGACAGGCAATGTGAACCCAGGCAAAATTTTAACAGACATTGTGGACACAGGAAATATTTGACACCAACTGAGCTTGACATTGCATTGAAAAAGTTCACAAGCAGCATTCATGGCAACCAAGTCACCAACAGTAGCACTTTCATCTTACAGAACCAAAAGCATGTCATCTGTGAGTAACTGGTATCACCACCAGTCAATCAAAAGCATCTATCACCAGCTGTGTGTACTGGTGCCACCACCACTAAGTTACTCTAGTAATATGACTTCCACTAAGTTACTCTAGTACCAAAATGATATCAGCATCCAAGTGTTACATCACATTGTTTTGGGTGCTACATCACATATTTACACACAAGTTTTTTCTGTTGGAGTAGTCTTCTTCCCTGGCTTCTTTGCAACCTGAGGTATCTCCTTGGGATTTATAGGCACCTTGCGCTTTCCTACTGCGGCTCTTCCTTTCTTAGTAGCGGTAGATGGTGCTACAGGTCTTGCAACAGGCAGGTTTGACATGATGAAGGTTGAGTCAGGCAGAGGTTGAGGTTGGATGCTTGATGTTGCAACCTGTGTGTACTAGTACAATTCTATAGTCAGGTTGTGAAATGCAAAGGAAAATAGTAACAGTCATGATGTTCTGTACATACCTCTTGGTCCAGATGTGAAATCATTGTCTCTATTACCTCTACACTTCCTTCTGTAATCTGAGACCATGGTGGCTGACTCCCATCTACAAAATGGTACACAGTCTGCAACAGAATAATGTCAGTGAAATGAGACAAATTTGTTGCATGGTAGTGAAATGAGACAAATTTGTAGCACTGCAAGTACGTGAGCCCTTGCATAATCATACATATCTTCTTCATGCATATTACTTGGCATTGCTTCCCCTTGATCTGACTGTCTTATTTCTTCATCTTCAGCATTGGTCTCTGGCTGTTTTTTGGGCATCAGTCCTGCTTTCCTAAGCTGGCAGCCCTTCTTATTGTGGCCTTTGTCTCCACAGTAGCTGCATGTCATAGCCACTCCATGTTTTGACAGTTTACTTCCTATAGCAGTTTCTATTTCTGTTGGTAGTTTCCTTCTATTCTTTGAAGGCCTACCCACCTTTTTCTCATACTTGGGAGGTAGAACCTTGGGTGCAGATACCTTCTCCCAGGTGGTCTTATCACTACATGGCATGATCTTAGGACCATATGCTACAAGGAACCTTGCAGAACTGTAACAGTCATGGACCATTGATTTTGTAGGAATTCTTTCATGCCTAAGACATGAGATGGCATGGGAGCAAGGTATTCCAGTGAGATCCCATCTCTTGCACTCACATTTCTTGAGTCCTATATCAATTATGTAACTATGGTCCCTATCTTGAACCTGAAAGATTCCTTTACCAGAAGGGATGGCATAACATGTGTTTGCCCACTCAGAAATCTTATTGACCTTTTTCCTTATTTTGGGACATATTGGACCCTGCCACATATCTCCATGTTCTTTCTCCTTAGAGTAGTGCCTTGCCATCATTTGATTCTTAATTTGCTCTATCATACTCAACATAGACATTTCTCTAGCATCTAGGATGAATTTGTTGAAAACCTCACAACTGTTATTCAATAGGATGTCACACTTGCTGTAAGTACTAAAAAAAGATCTAGACCATGTGTTAGGGGGCATTTTCTCAACCCACTTATAAGCCTTTTCATCTAGCAACCTAAGTTTGTCCATGTTTTTTGTCCACTGAACTACAGTACTAGATCTTGCACATGCCCAGAGTTGTTTTTTCAAGTTCTCACCTTTGAAGTGCTGTTGGAAGTTGGAGTACATGTGTCTAACACAAAATCTATGCTCAGACTCTGGAAATACTTCACCCACAGCTTTAATTAGGCCCTACAAAATTCAAGTACACAGATTGTCATAAGTATACAACAATCACACATAGTTGTCATAAGTTCACAGATTTAACATAACTTGGACTACAATGAATGGAAGATTCCTCACCTTCTGCTTGTCAGTCATTAGTGTCTAAGGGTATGTGTTCTCAATCCCTAAATCTTGCTTCAGTGTTGTCAAGAACCATCTCCAAGAATCTAAACATTCCACCTCAACTACACCAAAAGCAATAGGGAAGATGCAATCATTAGGATCAATTCCAACTGCAGTAAGCATTATACCACCATACTTAGTCTTCAAATGGCACCCATCCAAACAAATAAGAGGTCTGCATCCTCCAAGAAATCCCCTTTTGCAAGCACCCAGAGACACATACAGTGACTTGAATATGTTGCCATCTAGGTTAAGGTAGAAGGTGCTGTAAGGATTGGTCTTCCTCAACTCATGTGCATAATCCCAAAGCATGTTATATTGTTCCTCTTCATCTCCTAGCACCTTTTTCATAGCCAACCTTCTAGCTCTAGCAAGCTTGGTCCTTGATGGAGTAAGATTTCACTCCTTCTGCACTATCCTAGAAAAGTTGGATAGTGACATTTTTTGGTCTGCTCTGAATGTCTCAATGTATTTCTCAGCAAGCCAAGTAGATGTGCACCTCTTCAAGACCCATTGCTTCTGAAAACTGTGTTTCCCAGTATAAGTCTTGATCATCATGCCATTAGCCCTCTTATCATATGATGCATAAAGGAACCAAGGACATCCTCTGAATAGTTAGCTTGAAGCCTTTTCTGTTCATTCCTAGGCATCTTGATATCCACTCTGTTCCTAAGACTGTATTCAGTTATAGCCTTCCTTAGCATCTCAACAGTGTCAAACATCATACCCACCTTAAGCACTGGGTGGGCCATGTCCTCTGGTTTGAATGACTTGAATTTGAATGCTGGTTCACATTTACCATCAGACTGAGGTAATTCTAGCCTATCATCATCAGTTGACTCCTCATTTTCATCATCATCATGAGCAACTACTGAAGTTCTAGTACTGGTCCTTCCTGCTACCCTCTTGGTTCCCTTAGCTATCTTCCTCCCTTTGGCAACACCTTCATCTGTCACATGTTCATCAACATTGTCAACAAAAAGGTCATCATCATCCTCTAAGTCATAATCACTATCATCAAAATCACTGTCATCACTTGAGCTGTCATGTGCATCTTCAGAGCCTTCATCATCTGCTGCCTCATTGTTTCTCTACCTTGTCTGACCTTTGGATGGGCTGATCACTCTAGGCAAGGATGCAACAGGGTTTGCAACTACATCATCCCAATCTGAGCCTGATGTAATGGCCTCATGATCAAAATACAATACAAGTGTCTTCACTTTGTGCACAACTGAAGCCATCACTAAAGTGTCTTCTTCTGAAACAATCAGCCTGATGCCATCTGGGAAATCCTTTCCAGGAAGTAACCAAA